CTAAGAGCTGGCTCAGGCTCCTTAAACTAATATTTGCCTCTTGGCCCCTGGCAACCACGGCTGAAGGTAAATATTGGTTTAGCCTGGGAAACGGAAGCCCAGATGGCAGTGTGGTCCTCGGCTGGGGACCGCTCACTCTCAGTACCACCCAAGCTGAGGCATATCCTGGACAGGGGACCTGACCCAGGCCTTACCTCCGGGGCGCCCAGCCTCCCCCGAGAACCAACCCAGCAGCAGCCTGGCCCTCAGAAGGCTACCCTGAGTCTCCACACAGCTCTTTCCTCCAGAGGGACAAAACAAAATGCCATGAGCCCTTGGGAGTCCCCTAATACCCTCCTAGCACCCTCCTGGGCTCCGCCACAACCACTCTGATGTGCCAATAGGTCTCCTCCCTCTGACTGCATTCCCAGATCAGCCTGGGAGATCTGGATTCCCAGCCTGGCCTGGCTTCAGACCAGCTGGGAGGATTTGGGCAGGCCCCTCCCCATCTCTGGACCTTGCACTTCCCCATTATTAACCGTAATCCCTTTAATTGAACAACTTGAGGGCACAGAAGCTGCTGGAAGCTTTCTACTCTCATGGCTCTCCCCCCTGTGGATGCATACACAACCCACACCCCTGCATGCTCCTCACCTCCGCAAGTCACCTGCTACCTTTCTATTTCATCTCTTCCCAAGGATCTGCTCCCTTGCTGACTGTTAATTCCCCCCTCTGTGCCTGTGCACACCCCTCCTGTCTGAGCTAAATTGTTCCTCCTCAACCAACCCATTGTTTCCCTAAGTTCCTGACTTGAAATGCATCTCCTACAGGAAGTCCTCCTGGATTGCTCCCCGGTTACACCCTCACAGTTTTACTCTTCAGCCCACGCTTAATCGCAGGATTGGATTTAGGCCACCTCACATCAGTCATATTGTATGTCCCCAGTGGAAACACTCGTCAAGGAGATGGGCTGGTTTTCAACAATTCCATCTCCCCCCGCCCCCTGCAGGGTGCCTAGGCTGCAGTGGGCACAGAGGGATGCTCAGCACCCTGCACGTGGAGTCTTGCTCATCAGCTTCCTGCCAGGACTCACGGCTGGGCTTCCTGAGTCAACAGTTCTCAGAGGAGCAAGAAGACCTTGAAAACTGGGAGAGGAGCTTCTCTCTCCAAGTATTAATCACCCCATAAAATTTGTGTTTATTTAGTTGCTGGCGGGTCCTTCTTCCTGGAGGTAGGAAGCTGTTATTCTTGGAGTTACCAGCCTGGGCTTGGGCCAGGGTGCCCCGAGGAAAGAGGGTGATCTGCCCAGCTCCAGCGTAGCGGGGTGGCTGGCCAGCCTGCGGCCTGCTGGGGCCGTGGCATTGGCGACAGTGTCCCTGCATCATGGTCAGGGCACAGAGGGCAGGATGAGGGTCGGCGGGGGGAGACACCAGACCCTGCCTCCACTCTGTCCAGGGACACAACCTGACTTGCATACCTACTATGTGCCAGGCAGCCCAGGAGGAGCAGATAGGGGCCAGCTGAGGTTTGGAGGGCTGTGGCCACAGGTTCCAGATGGAGAAGGAACAGGGGCAGGCCTGGCAGAAAATCCCTAAAGATTGGACACTGGTTTGAGGAATAATCACCCCAGGACAGACTGGCCCAGCCTCAAAGCTGCCAAGACAGAGAGCGACCTTCTTCAGAGGAGACTCAGCAGGTGGGAGGGGATGACAGGGAGGACAAGAAGAGCCGGAGGACCCGCAGAGGGAGAGAGAGGGAAAGGCCCAGAGATACTGAAGGAAACGAAGTGGCCCACCATGGAGAGAGGGAGAGGTGGGAAGGGAGGAAGCAGGGAGGGGAGAGAGGGAGAGGTGGGAAGAGAGGAAGGGGAGAGGAGGGTTCAAGGCAGCAGGGACATCTCAGAGGGCAGGGCGCAGGCGGAGACAGAGCGCGCGGTGCCCACCTCGGATATCTCTTGAATGGACACTCGCTCTCTTTTTTTATTTACAAAAAAAAAAAAAAGATCAATTTAAGAAGAACAGAATGAAGAGATATTTCAATCTGCTAATTGAATTTAGGGGCCACAGTCAGTGTTTGAAAATGCCCAGGGATTATGGTGATTTACAGCTAGTACGGGAATCCTTGGGGCTCCGGCCTTATCGGGTGTGCAGAGGGGAGCCTGTCAGAAATCCGAACGCAACTGAAAATACTGCTGCAAACCCATTTATAGTCAAAGAGGGGGTTGGGCAGGCCGCCTGGGCTCTGGCCCCTCCCCAGCCCCTCTGAGGCTGGAAGCCCCAGTCACCTGGTGCGTTCCCCTTCCTCGCCCCCTGCCCAGACGCCTCCAGCACATGCAGGCCCAGCCCAGCCTTCTCTTCCAAGGAGCCTTCCCAGACTCCATCCTCCCTCACTGACCTCCGCCCTCTCTGACTTCCTGCCTCCTTTTATGTTAAACCTGCTGCAGGGTAACAGGAAATGCATTGCTTTTGGTATCAGAACATCCAGTTCGAGTCCCAGCTCTGCCACATCCCTACAAGGACAAGCCGGGCCTCCTGTGGGCCTCAGTTATCTCCCTGCCAAATGGGGATAAAAAACACTCCTTCTGGGGCCTGCTGCTGAGGGGTTAAGTGAGCTAACTGGATGGAAACCATCTCGGCAGATGGCAGGCATCCTATGACGCAGCCTTCAGCGATCTGCTGTCTTCTCTCGGGTTATGCCCTGCCGTGTGCTTCATCCCAACTTCCCAGACAGCAGGGCTGTCCGTGGGCAGGGCGGGGTCTGCCTCAGCTCCCCCAACCCCTTTCTTCATCTAACAAGTCACCCCACTCGCCCACCCACCCCTGCAGGCGGGTACGAGACTCCACCTGGAGAGGACCCGACGGGTAAGGGGGCTCCTCCCTACAGCCCCGCTGTCTACGGGGAAACAGACACAGGAACAGACCCAGGTTCAGCCAGTGCCTTGTACTGAGACATGCAGGCGCCACGTGGTGGGACACAAGGACAGAGAAGAGAATTCCACCCAGGAAGGCTTCAGGGAGGAGGGGACTTTAGAGCTAGGTCTTGAAGCCAGAGTGGGCACAGCCAGGAAGGGTGTTATTTCCTTCGGAAAAAGCAAAAATGGTGCCTCACCTCTTTCCCCCAGGCCACCCCCAACAAGACGGTGACTTTCTCAAGAGGACAGACATTCTCTGTCCTCCACCCCTAGGTCGAGCGGGGGCCGAGGCATGGTATCCACAGCCATCACACAGATGAGAAGACCGAGGCTCAGGCGACGTGCCAGGCTGCAGCTCAGACTCAAGCGTCGGGACTCCAGTGCCTGGAAGTGTGGGGCCCTGGGGACAGCAGGCAGCGCCACGGCACTGGCAGGAGCCTTGGGTTAGGCTCTGCCCTCTGCAGCATGGGGGGGCGATGGGCACTGACCCCCGACTGCACCTCAGCGGCTCCCACAGGTCGGCTTTTTGAGCCTCAAAAGAACCCTGACAGTGTTTGTTATTGCCCCCGTTTTACAGATGAGGAAACTGAGGTCCTACCCCCAGCACAGGGTGAGGCCAGAATCCAGCCGGGGTTGGTGCACAACCACTGCCCTTTCTGCCTCTGGCAGCAGAGGCCCTACAGGGACACCCATGTCACAGGCGGGGAAGGCACCTGGGCAAACACCTGGGCTCCCTTCTTCAGCTGCTGAGACCAAACAGCTGGGTTTCAGGCTCTTGACATGTCAGCGTGAATGCAGAAACACTTTTATTGAGTTCAAAAACAGAAAGTTCCCAAACTACTAGTTAATAAAAACAGCCCCCTGATGTTTGGAACTCAACAAATAGACAGGCTTCTGACTCATTTCTCTGTTCTTACTTTCACTGACTTTTTACTCAGATAAAGGTGTTTTGGAAAGAAGAGCTTCCCTGTTACTAGGCTCTGAAGTCAGAAAGGAAGGAAAATAGTCGTCAACCACCTTCATGGCATCTTTCTCTGCAGGGAGAGGCGGGTAGGGAAGGGCGAGGAAGGAACGAGTGTTGCCCGAGCGTGTACTTGGCACCGGGACCGTGCCGGGTACTTTACTCACAGCCTCTTTAAAGCAATCTTCCCAGCAACCCACTTTACAGATAAGACTTGCACAGGCTCGGCCTGGAGACAAAGCCAGTTTGTCGATGGGCTAATCTGTCCCCAGGGTCTACGTGCGCGCGCACACACACACTCACCTGAGAGCCTGTCATGAGTACAGCCAGATGGCAAGGATCTTGGACTGGGAGTCAGGTGGCCTGGGTTCTAGTCCCACCTTAACCACAAACTCACCGTGTACCCGAGGAAGTCTGAGATTCTCCGTGGCCCCTTCCAGCCCTGGCATGTGTGCCGCTGCCGGGAAGCCCGGCACCTAGTGCTCCAGGCAGCCTCTGAGGCTCCTCCTCCCACCCCGGGGATGTTTGCCCTCCTGCTCCCCTGAAGGAGCCAGTGGCAGAGTCTTACCTCCCCCAGAACATTCCTTCTGCTCCTGCTTCTACCCTTTTACCCAACATCCCAGGAAAAGGCACCAGGGCTTGGAACCCAGCCTCCTGGCAGACTACAGAGCCCGGGGCTGAGAGCTCGTGTTGGAGTTGGCTCTACCAGTCCTGGGCAGTGACTCGACCTACCTGGACCTGCGTCTTCACCCCTGTGGAGACTCCCCGTAGTGGAGTCCGCCTGCCAGGGTTGCTATGAGAACGCGCAGTGGTGAACCATGGTTATGACGATTAGCATTAATTGCTTCCAGGAGGGGTGGCCTTCTGCTGTTTGTGATTGTGAAGGTTGCCCACCGCTCACAGGCACCACCTGAGCGGCTGCGCAGGGAAGCGATCTCACCCGGGCTCCACTGGCCACAGCTGCGGGCCACGAGGGACGAACTCCCTGCAGTTCCCACCAGGCTCCCAGAGCTGCCCCTGTGCCCCTTGGCCCTGGGCTGCCACCAGTCAAGGAAGGGTCCCTACACCTGATGGATCGAGCATGTCAGGCCAGCACTCAGAGGCCTAGGGGGGTACCCTGCGCCCGGGGCCAGAGCGGCAGGCACTCACCAAGCAGCTGGACGCCCCGCGTGAGGCCGTAGACATCCACCAGGGCCCAGAGCGGGTCGGCCGTGCAGACTCCGCTGAAGAAGAGCATGACGGCTGAGTCGTTGATGCGGTGGAAGACGCGGCCCTTCTTGTCCACCCAGAAGGCGATGATGTTGCCCTCGTTGGCAAACTCCTCGGGCAGCGCCTTGGCCCAGAAGCCGCTCTGGGACACCAGGTCAGGGCAGGCGTACTTGGGGAGCGAGTCGGGGTGGATGCGGGACGGGTCCTTGCTCGTGAAGCCCAGCCGCAGGGCCCCGCTCCAGCAGCACTGCTTCTTGGTGATCTGGGTGGCAGGGGTCGGCCTCAGCCCAGCCTCCCCCTTGGTCAGGCAGACCAAGGGCACCCCCCTCGGGCAGACTCCCTGGAGCGCCAGGCCAGCCTGCCCACCCCTCCACGCCTTCCCCTCCCCGGGGAGCCGCCCATGGTCTGGGGAAGAGGCTAGTGGCCCCTTCTTTGTCACACAGGGAGGGTCAGGAAAGGGAATGAAGAGGGAAGCGGGCACAGAGAGGAAAGGGGAGGGGCAGCGTGTGGCTGTGGGGTGGTGCAGGCAGTGGCTGAGGGACAGTCCGAGGCCCCGGGATGCAGAGGGCAGGGAGGCCCACCTTCAGCCTGACTTGCTCGTAGATGAGGACGGGGCGGTTGCTGAAGGTGATGGCGTTGCAGAAGCTGGCCTGCCTCTTGACGGCCTTGTGGCTGAGGTCCATGAGGATCTGCGAGCCCTTGGTGTGCGGGTGGAACAGCAGCGGTGTGGCCGGGAGGCCCCCGCCGGGCAGCACCGGCAGGCAGTGCTTCTGCTTGTGGTGGCATCGGTGGGAGGTGACAGGGAAAGGGCCCCCAATGGAGTCTGCAAAGGAACAGGCCACAGTGTCAGAGAACTTAACTGGCCGAGGAGCCTGAAGAGAGTCCCCTACGGAAGCACAGAGGGCTGGGCACAGCAGAGGTCACTCACTGCCCAGCGTTCCTGCTCTACCACCACCTTTTACTGCCACCCTCCCCAAGCCACTGTCTGCTGCTATCTCCCACTCTGCCACCCACCACCCTCCTTCCCCACCCTGACTCCCACCACCACCATCTCCTTCCACCACCCCTAACCTACCATGAGCTACATCACCACTTACTGTCTGCCCACCGCCAGCCACTGATTTATTCATTTATTTTACTCAATAACTACTCGTTACATATCTGCTGAATACCAAGCTCTGTCCTGGGCTCTGGCGATATAGACAGGAAACATACACGGATCTTGTCTTCAGGAAGCCAACAGTCCAGGCAGAAAGAATCATGGACAGACCTCGCGACACAAAAAGGCACACAGTACTAGGCACTAGGACTGACAGGCAGGTCACATCTCAGGAAAGCCTCCTGAGGAACTGGAGCTGGGCTGACATGGCTGGGCTGCAGTGGAGGTGACCGGGGGAGCCCAGGAAGGTGGGCAGGCGCTGTGCCCAGGTCCCCTCCCTCAAGGCCACTCCCTGCACCCAGGCTTCTCCCTGCTTTACAGGACCCGAGCCTGAAGCATCCAGGGCACAGGAGGGCTGCGGGGTCTGCCACAGATCCCCCGGCCAGGGAGGCATGGCGCTTTCTTCTGCGGACGGGTCTACCGCATCCCAAAGTGGGTCGGAGTACCGGGCAGGGCTTAGCTGAGGAGAAGACACTTCACAAACATGCAGTTGGCCTCCAGGAGACAGGGAAGGGAGAGGAAAGAGTATGAGTCTACCTGTGGGTGGCTTGTGTCTGTCACTAACTGGCTGTGTGACCTTGAGGAAGACTCTTCCCCTCTCTGGCTCTAAGACAAGTGACAGCAGCACCTGCAGCATTAATATGCAGCCTCAAGGGCTGGGGGATGGGCAGAAGGTGCTCACTTGTCCCCAAGGTTTGTGTCCATCCTCAGAAAGTAGAGCCCCACCCATGCTGTCACCTGCAGGAAAGAGAGCCATGAAGGAGGGGAAGAGAAGGGAGTGGAGGAGCAGAAAGCCACAGAGTGGGACAGAGGCCTTCCGGAAGTTTCGAATTTTGGTCCCTCCAAGGCAAGGACTTAGTGATGCAGACAGCTCATTGGCATCAGGCCCACCCAGACCCTTCCACTCCCTAAAGGTCCAGGAGGAGGGGCTTCCAGGAAGGAGATGGAAGACAAGGAGGGCGGAGACAGGGAGAGAGGAATCCTGGAAGCCAGGAAGACCAGCCCTCTGTCCAGGCTGTGTTTGCTTTGGTTTGCATCCCTTTGCATCTTTGCTCCCTCCTTCCCCAGAGGGCCCCAGACACCAGTCCCCATAGCCCAGAACCAGCCAGACACCCTGTGCATCGGTCTGGGCTCTCTGGAGGAGGAACTCCCCTTGCCCTCACCAAGGGGACAAAACAGTGGTGGCTGAACAGTACAAGGGCCTTGGCAGCCAGGAGGCTGTGAGGGCCGGAAGTGCTCAGAGGAGACCCAGACAGTCTGGCAAGGCCACCTGGAAGACACTGAGTGGCCTCTGGTTACTGCAGAGGAGGGAAGGTGATTCCAGGGACAGGGACAGTTGGGCCAAAGGGCAGAGAGTGGCACTGGCTACAGGTGCCCTGCCTGGAAAAGATGCCCACTGGACTCAGGCCAGCCTCAGACACGGCTTGACTCATGGTTTCAAAAACCTGCTGGTGAAAGGCAACATTACAGATTGTTTAGGGATATATCCGTATGCAGAAACAAAAGCATAAGGGGAAAAACCCCTGCTGTGTTGAATGGCTAACAATGGAGTTATTGCACAATGGAATCCTACACAATAGAATCCTACTACACAATGGAATGCTACTACACAATGGACTGCTACTCTGCAGTAAAAAGCAATGCACTACAAATATGAATAACAACATGGATGAATTTCAAAATTATTTTGCTGAATGAAATAAGGCAGTTTAAGAAAACAAAAGAGCCCACAGTCCATGCAGCAACTGCGGGGCCTCCTCTCCCTTCAGGGCCCTTCCTCGTCCTCTCCCTCTACCTTGCCCCACTTTTATCAGACTGCAGGGCGTGCAAACCCAGCTACGGTGATGGAACACAGATAAGCAGGGGCCTGGGTGGAGGAGGGCGAGGAAGGGGTTACCAGGGAGCACAGGTCACATCTAGGCCACATGTTCCTTACCTAGATTGGGGTGATGACTTCACGGGGCCATACGTATGTTAAAACTCACCAAACTAGACAATTGAAACGTGCAGTTTAGTGTATGTCAATTATACCTCAAAGTGTTTTTCTAAAACCTGCTGAGCCCAGCTGCTGATCAGAGCCTCTCCTCTGGGCTTCTCCCTCCCCAGCCTCCGCCCAGAGTGCACGGACTCACTGCGGGCCTGCAATCCCTTCAAAACGCTTCCTCGCCTTCCTGCCCAACCCTGCTGGGGTTCTGGGGCCCAGGGTAAAGGCCCAGAAAACACCAGCTCTGGGCAAGTATGGCAGAGACACATGGGGCCTGAGACACGGGCCCTGGAGGACACTCCCTAAGGCCCCCTTTCCACAAGGAGGACCCTGGGGTGCAGGCTGAGAGGGTGGCAGGGGCAGCACAGGCCCGGCACCCTGGCTGACAGCAGCACAGATGGGGAGGGTAAGAATAGAGAGACCTTGAGGACACAGACATGTGTCCAACAAAGGCACACTCATGGGCACACATACACCTGTGAGCACATGAAGGTAATCCTGACCCTAGGGCCTCATCCTCTCCCCTACTGCTGAGACCAGCAACCACACATGCACACACATATTGTGCACACATGCATGTATTCATGTACACAGATGTACAAAACAATACACACTAAACACACACCCGTCACTCATGGGCCATACATGTCTAATACTAATGGCAGCCATCTGTCAAGTGCTTATACGTGCCAAGCTCTGGACTGGGAGTTTTACATACACTTACCAGTTTCACCCTTACAGGAAAACTTATGAGGTAGGAAGGGACATTATTAACCCATTTTACTGACGACAAATGTGAGCCTCATTAAGTGGCTTGCCCAAGGTCACACAACCAGTAGGAAAGGAATCTGGGAGCTAAACCCAGCAATCTGACTCAAGGGACAATGCCATTAGCCAGGAAACCATGGGTTTGATGTGCTGGATACGTTTTTTTCGATGCTCATTAAAATATAGTTGTAACTTGTAAAATATAAAAAAAATTTTCATCCATTTACCACCTAAAAACCTCTCAGAGAGCACCCTGGGGGGTGTGTGGCCTTCTATGTTTCCATACACACATACAGAAATACAAACGACGTTCTCAGCCCTCATCCACTGCTGGCGGGACGCAAGCCGGGCAGACAATGTGGAAATCGCCTTGGCAGTTTCTTCCAAAGTGAAATGTCTACCACGTGACCCAGTGCTCACACTTCTGGGCACTTACCCACAAGGACATGTTCACACAACGACCTGTACACAAATGTACAGCAGTCTTATTCATAATAGCCCAAAACTGAAAACGCCTCAAATGTCCTTCAACTGGTGAATGGATAAATAAAACATGGCACCTCCACACCACAACAGCCACTCTGAAGGGAAAAGGAATGTGGCATTGACACAGCAAAACACACTAAGTGAGAGCCACACATAAAAGGCTACACGCTGTGTGACTGCACGGTATGGCATTGTGTCCTCAGCTCTTCTCTCGGTACCCAGCTCACTGTGGGATCAGTGCCCACCGGCCTCCTCTGGGGAGACTACTTGAAAACCCTCTCTGGTCTGCTGGGCATCTCCTGCCCTTGGACCGTGGGCTCCTGTCACTCGGCAGACCCAGCTGGACTCCCGACTCACCCCTCCCTGGGTACCCCACACCCGATCTGCCAATCCAGCCTGAGGAACAAACGCCCCTGGGTTCTGCCCCTCCTGTCCACTCTCCTACCATGGCCCTAACTCAGACCTCGTCACTTCTCTTCTGAACCCGGGCCAGGGCCACCACACACAGCCACGTAGGCTGTGCCCTGCACCCTTCCAGGAGGTGCTATCTCATGGACTACGATGAGTGGTGCTCTCAGTCACTCGTCCATCACAGCTGGCATTAAACCCGGGGGAGGGGGGTAGCCGGAGCAGAAAGCAAAACGAGAATGAACCCGGAGCATAGCTCTGATGCCAAGGGTCCAGAGGGGACAGCTGGGGACGGGGCTTCTTCCTCTGCTATCCAACTGGGCTCCCTCCCAGCACTTGAACATACACTATGACCCTTAAGTCTCCATTCTGTGGCTGAGCTGTGATTCAGGCTGGTTAAGCAACTCGCTTGAGGTCACACAACAATTATGTGGCAGAACTGAGACTTGAACCCTGGTCTTCCAATGCCATGCCCAGGGTCCTTGACCCTACTCAGTATCGAATACTAGAGGCCATTTTCCCCAGAGTCCAAGATGGCGGGCTTGGCAGGGAAGGTTGTGTGGACGATGCGGCCACAGGAAGGGCCTCAAGCTGGTGGGCCTGTGGGCTGTGCAACTGCTGCTGGCAAATGGCCCTGGCTGGGGCCTCCACCGTGCCACCTGGCTCCCAGCAGAGCTCCCAGGGAGGGCCCCCTAGTGACAGGTTTACAAGCTCTTGGGAGCCACAGGGGGGGCACCCTGCTCAGGCCAGGCTGCCGCTGACACAATGGAAACTCCCCCACGGCCCCTTCCTTCTGGGCATTTATGAGCTGCCAGACACCAGCCTGGCCAGCCCTCTGGGTGACCCTCGGCTGGCTCTGGATCTCATTCCTCCCTCTCGGTGGGGTCCCAGGGCAGATGCCTGGACACACAAAGCCGCCAGGCTGACCTCCCCGCTGCTCCCACAAGGCTCCGCCCAGGACCACAGGCAGAACCCCAGATGCCCAGCCAGGGAGATGGGGGCCAGGGGGAGCTGACCA